CACCAGAGACAGATGGTCTTGGTGCTCTTTCAGGCTTACTTCTCTGATTCAAGTCCAGCTGCTAATATTCCTGGGGGCCCTTGGGGGAATGGAAAAGGTGGGCATAAGCAGGGAGGAGACAGGTACCATTTGTGCTCAGACTTGGGTTGGGGTAGGGGTGGAATGTGGTGTTATCAGATTAGAAATCAGGTAGCTACTTAGTTTAATAGACTTGAGGCTTTGCTCTCAAGGACCATTCTTTTTTTTTTGAGACAGAGCCTCAAGCTGTTGCCCTGGGTAGAGTGCCATGGCATTCACAGCTCACAGCAACCTCCAACTCCTGGGATCAAGTGATTCTCCTGCCTCCACATCCCAAGTAGCTGGCACTACAGACGCCCACCACAATGCCCAGCTATTTTTTGGTTCCAGCCATCATTGTTGTTTGGTGGGCCCAGGCTGGATTCGAACCTGCCAGCTCAGGTCTATGTGGCTGGCGCCTTAGCCGCTTGCACCACAGGCGCCAAGCCTCTATGTCCTTTTCTGAAACAAAGCACTCTCTTGAACATAGGTAAATCACCCAGTAAAAGCACTGTGCTTTGTATGTGGGTAAGAGATGAAACCAACATACATTTCTTGATTATCTACAGAACTACAATCCCAAATCTGAAATTCTGTAATTCAAATAACTCTGAAAACCAAATGTCTTTTCTTGGTTGGCACCAAAATCCATTGGTGGCAAAAACCTGACCAGAATTTCTTTTTTTTCTGCAGAAGGATCCTCTATTGTCTCAGGCCTGTGTTGGTTGTCTGGAGGCCTTACTTGACTACCTACATGTCCGGAGCCCAGACATTGGTAGAAATTCTCTCCATTCTCTGATGTTCCTATAGGGCAATTGGAGCCAGCCTCTGCCACCCTCCTATCCCAGGCTTCCATCCTGTTTTGTGATTCATACTCATTTTGCTTAATTATTTTAACAATGTTGCAAGAACACTGTCATGTCCATTATACAGAGGGATGTCCACTATACAGAGGAGGGTACTGGGGCTCAGACATGCCCAACCAAGGTCACAATGCTCTTAAGTAGACAGAGTCCTTCCTACTGTCTGCTTCAATCACGGGGTATATAGTTTCACTGAGCCAGTCACCATAGGTGGATAGAAGCTTTCTGAGGTCATCTTATCCAATGTACTTCTCTCAGCTGAGCAGCCCCTTTTTGAGCCAATAGGAGAGGGTTCTCTTTAGCAATGCTTCAGGACCTTTGGTAAAGCAGTATTAATAACCCGGGGTGACTGGTGTTTCCTGCAGCACTCCATGTGGCCTCCCAGCCCTGGAATCGGTTTTTGCTGTTTACCCTCTTGGATGCTGGAGAGAATTCCTTCCTTAGACCTGACATCTTAAGGCTTATGACCCTGGTAAGTGCATAAAGGATAGTCTTGTGGTCTGAGGAATATCCTGAGCTGGGTGGTACTGAAGAGGCCAGGGTCACCTTACTTAAGGTAACTCTAAGAGAAGAGAAGGTGGCAGAGGGGCTGAGTGGGCCTTCCTCCTATAAGAGGCCTGCTCAGAGGATTCCTCTGAAGGCCCACGTTTCCTCACCTTAGGAGACTGATACCTTCTCTTATTTCTCTCATGAAATGTTGACCAAGGCCTGCCCACTTCATGCCAGATCTGCTAGGTCATGAAGATGTCAGTAAGTCAAATGCTCTGCCTTTAGAGTCTCTTAGTTTAGAGGAGGAGATAGGCAAGTAAATTAAATGGTTAAAATATGATGTTATGGGCTCGGCGCCTATAGCTCAACCGGCTAAGGCGCCAGCCACGTACACCTAAGGTGGCGGGTTCGAATCCCCAGCCCGGACCCGC